CCTTTCACCATACTTATTCAATCTGTATGCTAAGCAAATGATCCGAGAAGCTGGAGTCTATGAAGAAAAACGTGGCATCAGGATTGAAGGAAGGCTCATTAACAACCTGTGTTATGCAGATGACACAACCTTGCTTGCTGAAAGTGAAGAGGACTTGAAGCACTTACTGATGAAGATCAAAGACTACAGCTTTCGGTATGGATTATACCTCAACATAAAGAAAACAAAAATCCTCACAACTAGATCAATATGCAACATCATGTTAAACTGAGAAGACACTGAAGTTGTCAAGGATTTCATTTTACTTGGATCTACAGTCAATGCTTATGGAAGCAGCAGTCAAGAAATCAAACAATGTAGTGCACTGGGCAAATCTGCTGCAAAAAAAAACTCATTAAAGTCCTAAAAGACCTCTCAGGGGGGCTGTAGTGAGTGGAATCCCAAATGATATGGCCAGATCCTGTGAATGTGACCTTATTTGAAAAAGGGTCTTTGTACATTTAATTAATGACCTTGAGATGAAGAGAGCATCCTGGATTGTCTAGGTGGGGCCCAAATCCAATGACAGGTGTCCTTATAGGAAACAGAAGAGAAGACAGGACCACAGGGGAGGAGGCCATGTAAAGACAGACGCAGAAATTGCAGCGATATGGCCACAAGCCAAGCAATGCCTGGGGCCACCAGGAGTTGGAAGAGGCAAGGAAGGATCCTCCCCTGGAGCCTCTAGAGAGAGCACAGCCCCTGCCGACACCGTGATTTCAGAGTTCTGGCCTCCAAAACTGTGAGAAAATAAATGTTGTTTTAAGTCACTCAGTTGGTAGTAATTTATCACAGAGCCCTAGGAAACTATACAAGAGCCAAACTACAAACTAGTCTCACCCCAAAATAAGTCGGGTGTTATGGCAAGCGAGGCACTGGGCGAGGCAGTGGGAATCTTGCCTCTTTTCTTTCTGCCTAGCCCATGTTTTGGCCACACCTGACCACCTGAAAACCATGAGCTCCCAGGGAAACTGTGGATGCCGACAGTCTGGGGGGTGGGAGTTAAGAACTGAGAAGCTGTTCCTAAGTGGGTATTTTTTATAAAAAAAAAACCTGTTGCGATCGAGTCGATTCTGACTCACAGCGACTCGTAGATTAGATTAGACCTCCCTAATCTAATCTGTTTAGAAGCAAGGATGGTGAGACTTCATCTCACTTACTTTGGACATATTATCATGAGGGACCAGTCCCTGGAGAA